CTTCTGACGTCCCTGTGTATTATCAGGCTATTGCAAGGTATGTTTGGTGCTTCTTAAATTGTGCGTTCCATCCATGGATACAATCTTGGATTTCCATTCGTTCCCACTATCTTTTCCTACCATCTGTTCCAACCGACGAAGCCGGACTGCACCAGTGAAGGACCTTTAACTGTGAAAGAAACATGTCCCAGGCATCAACTCGAAATTCATCATAAAAAAAAGATAAACTTCATAAACTTCATAAACTTCATAAACTTTAATTAATAAGTACCACTCCCTAAAAAGGGCTTTATAGTGATACAATTTAGAAAATATATTACAATATGATTTATAAGAAAGTTATACTTATCTAGAATTACTCATATGCACTGAGTAATTGTTTATATAGTTTATGTTTAAAAGATTGAAGTGATTTCTCTGATGTGAACTCTGGTAACAATGAGTTCCATAATTTGGCTCCTCTAAAACTAAAAGTTCGCTGTCCTGTCACATAGCAACAAAGAGGCAAATGAAAATCACTAGTGTTTCTTGTAACTCTGGAATGTACTTCAGAATTTTTTTTAAATTTTTCAGTAAGCGAAGGAGGCGTTAGATTATGTAAAGATTTAAAGACGAGTATAGCATCTCTAAAGTATAACTGGTCTTTAACGTTCAACCATTTAAGTTCTTTGAAAGCAGGAGATACATGATCGTACTTTCGTAAGTCAACTAATATTCGGGCAGCAAAGTTTTGTACACGTTGCAGTTTTTTTACATTCTCCTTCGACGTGTTGCTCCATACAGAAGAGCAGTAATATAATCTGCTAAACACTAGAGAATGTATGACAAATAAAAGTGTTTTGCGATCCAAAAGATGTTTCACGCGATTAATCTGAAATAATGAATACATGCATGAAGAGACAGTTGTTGTAATATGGTCAGAATAAGCCAGGCATGAATCCAAGAGAACTCCCAGGTCTTTCGCAACAGGAACAGGCTTGATCTGTTTAGAAAGAAATTTGATGGAAAAGTTTGGAGGTTGTTGCAAACGCTGCCGAGTACCCAAAACAAGCACTTTGGTTTTTTCAGGATTTACAAGTAGAGAATTGCCGCAACACCAACAGCATAACTGATCGAGATGTTTGTTGATTTGGTCTATTGCTAAATCCAAGTTGTTAACTAAGAAACTAATATAAAGCTTACCATCATCTACGTAACACTCCGGCTTACAGTTAACCACTATCGAAGGCAGATCATTAACGTAAACAGTAAACATCAAAGGTCCCAAGATAGATCCTTGGGGGACTCCATGAGAGAGGGAAAGCTGTTGTGAGAGAGACTCCACAAGCGTACTCGTTGAGATCTGTTCGTCAAATAGCTGGAAAACCATTCCAAAGCACTTGCAGTCATTCCAATGTTCCATAATTTATTTAAAAGAACATCATGGTCGATACTGTCGAAAGCCTTTGAAAAGTCGATTAAAACCATGATGGTAATCAATTTTCCATCCATAACTTCCAATATATCATCCGTAACTTTTATCAAGGTTGACTCTGTGGAGGAGGAAATATAAAATCCATAATTTCGTCATAACTATCTATCATTGCAAGACATGTTTTTCATCCTTGAGCCCAGATTTTTATCAGTGCAATAAAATCCCACTATTGGATCCTGGCCTAGAGTCTACCAGCCTACGCTCAAAACGAGACTGCATGTATTCTACAATAAGCTGTTCTGGCTTTTGTCTGGTAAAGTTCTACTTCTCGTATTTAACTATTACATATATTATATTGTGACATAGGTTGGTATTTAGCCACTATCTAGCATAACGAGGAACGATTCAACCTGGTTTTTCGTGCCCACACTTGTTGACTTTTTCTTATAAATTTGCTGCTGCGGCGCCAGGATGCGTTTCAACTCCTCCGCCAGGGTGCGTTTCAGCTTCTCAACCATGACCAAATACTGATCTGCTGCACTGCGCAGATAATATCTAAGTGCATTACCATCATTGTTCTTCAAATATGCCATCAAATCCAGTGTCATCGCCATCAAGTTCGAATAATAGGCCATCATCATCTGAGAAATCGTTCTCGTCTGTATTCTGGTCGGGAGAATTTGTGCAATCGCAACCGGAACAAAGACCAGTACACTTCTATTCTCGGCTTTTTAACAGGCACAACGTCTTGGTGAATATCCAGACTTACAACCACAGTAACGTTTTCCAAATTTCCATCAGGAGTTGCCGGCTTCCATCTGATATTTACTTGCCTTTCGTTTACTTCCCAACCTAACTCGCTGATTGAACACCATGCCATGCACGAATGACGTTGTTTTACTTCATACAAATCGTACATCACATCAATATGCCGCATATGGAAAGGTGGATGAAAACATGTCTTTCAATTATGGATAGTTATGATGAAATTATGGATTTTATGTTTCCTCCCAATTTATCTCTTTTTAAGATGAATTGCGAGTTGGAGCTTGGGACATGTTTCTTTCACAGTTAAAGGTCCTTCACTGGTCCGGCTTCGTCGGTTGGAACAGATGGTTGGAAAAGATGGTTGGAACGAATGGAAAAGTCACTAGTTTAAGATTGGTATCTATAGAATATACTTAAGCGATGGATGGAACGCGCAATTTAAGAAGCGCCAAACATATCTTCCATAGTTATTCGATAATACATTAAAATAAAAATTCAATCAGAGGTTTTCCTAGGAATTTATATAAATATCCCTTAATGCCCGGGACAAACCGGGAAACATTGTTGTGCAAAGTCAAAGATATTTGTCATATTATTTGTCTTACCAATGTTTCGGTATGTCATTTTGTCTTATCGGCGTCGGCAAACGGTGAGAGTGTTTCATCAAATGTTTCTGAATTTGGTAGGAAATATAGTTATTATTTTTGCTTTCCGGGAAGCAAATTTTGTTTCTGCAATAATAAAAGCAAATGTTTTCAGATATGGGAGACAAGGAACCACATGAGTCTAATCTTGTTGGGGGGCTTCCACAGTACACATAATATATACAACTTTGTTCGAGATTTTATCAGTGCCTTTTTTAAGGATTTTCCCGTGAGGGGGGAGCATTTTTTGAAAAGTGACCTTTCTGTGAGATAATATATTAGTGGGGGATAGCCATGTGGCCGACATACCACGCATGAATCCCTACGGGGGCATAGCACCCCAGAAAATGAAATTTGAAGCCCGGAAATGCAATTTCCTGCATTCTGAGCATCCAAATTTGCTCTAAAATTTATGCTAACTATATAACTAACTTCATAATCTTTTTAGCGAAATAGTTAATTTGCTCTTTGCAATCGTATGAATTGTATGTATATTTAAATATTCTCCATCCTCTTTGACACAAATTTGTATTGAATTAGGATGTTAGTAAGTAGAATTAAACGGTATTTTGAAAAAATAGCCAATGAATTGAAGTGATTTAGCATATGAGCAAGCAAAATGTACAATGTATTTTAAACAATATTTAATATGTGTCTATTTATTCGTTAATATCACAAGGTTTGATCTTTATTCCGTGATTTTATTACTTTTTACGGGGAAATTGGGGAAAACCCACAGGGGAAATCCATTTTTCGTGTCTGCGCGTGCGCAGTGCGAGTTTGGCTGACTTGCGCATGCGTATTTGCTACCAAAACAATGGCGGTTCGAATGTTTCGAAGCGGGAAAATAGCGAACTTTATAGGGATTATTTTCGCAATTGTGCACCTGTTTCGCTTGGGGAGTAACGGATTCTGATAAAGTAAGTTTTTATCTATTGATTCATGTAAAAATTATGTAGTCCACGAGGGGTGCAACGGAATCCGTTTTGTAAGCATTTTTTGGATGCTCATCCTACGGCCTAACTGTAATTACTTTAAAAGCCGATCGTTGCCAGGTTGCGTATAAATATGAAACAAGACAGCATATTATTTCGGTGTTTCTTTATTGATTACCCTTTTTATTATAACAAGCAAAGTTATTTGCATGCGAGAATTTGGAATCATTTTATATCCAACTCAAAGTTTATCGACACAGGCAGTTTAGTTCTATATATAAATACTATATTAATAGTATTAATAAACTGAGAGCACTTTATTCTTTAAAACGTTTTGCGAAGCGTTTTGTGGTTGAATTTTACCTTAATTGAAGCTTATATTGAAGCTTAATTGAAGCTTAATTGAAGCTTAATTGAAGTTTAATTGAAGCTTAATTGAAGCTTATATTACGTATAATAACATACTTAACATATATATGTTTGGGAAATTGATAATTTTGTAATTAAAAGTGATAGTTTTAGGGGATTTTTCATTTGTAAAAATATTCTTAAAAAATTATCGTGTTACCATGACAACTACTTTAAATACGATTTTTTCTGTGTTGGCGTTGTGTACTCAGGTGAATATGATATTTGTGATGTTACTCTGAGTGTATATCCACACCGGGCGAGCTTGAAAAATATGCCCGGCCACGGTGGGATTCGAACCTACGAAAACCAACCATTACTAGTGTTAGATATATAGATATAGACGGACAGCGGTCATACGCACGAACATGCGCATTAGATATGTAGATCGGCCATGCTTATGGATTATTCATAATTTGTTAAAAGTATAATCTAAATACACGACAGTGGCGACGAATTTGGGATTGTTATAAGTCCAGAAATGACGACGATTGGAAAAATTGATGTTTTTGATGAAACCCAAGAAAGCTGGGAGACGTATGTCGAACGAGTACAACATTTTTTCGCTGCAAACGATGTCGACGACAATCATCAAGTGCCAACTCTGCTGAGTTTGATTGGAAGCAAAACGTATTCATTATTAAAGGATTTACTTTTGCCAGAAAAGCCTGCAGACAAGAACTTTGATGAAATAGTAAGTACATTACAGAAGCATTTAAATCCTAAACCACTAGAAATAGCCGAACGGTTTCGTTTTTATAAGAGAAATCAGCAAGAAGGGGAGAGCATTTTAAGTTATATAGCTGAGTTAAAGAAATTAACCACACATTGCAATTTTGGAAGTAACTTGGAAGAAACATTGCGCGACAGATTGGTGTGTGGATTAAGTAATCAGCAAATTCAGAAACGTCTCCTTGCAGAGTCAAAATTAAAATTCTCCAAAGCTGTTGACATAGCAGTTGCTATGGAAACAGCCACTCGAGATCCTACAGAGTTCCACAGCAAGGGTAGAGAAGAAAAACCTCTTGGTCTTGACAAACTGACACTGAACAGACCCTCGAATAGATCAGATAGTGGCCCACCTTCCACTGTAGTGTGTTATCGATGTGGAGCTAATACCCATGTTGCAACTGAGTGTAGATTTAAGAAAGAAGTCTGTCACAAGTGTGGAAAGAGAGGTCATATTCAAAGAGCTTGCCGGGCACAACAAAGCCAGGGGCCCGGTAGACCCTCGCCCAGATCAAGATACCAGAAATCGAGCAATGCCATAGAGACCGAACCAGATGAGTATGGACACTTGTTGAATATCCTAGAAGTTCATAATGTAAACAAATCAAATAGTGATGTCATATGGGTTGACGTGAAAGTTGAAAATCAACCACTATCCATGGAACTAGACACAGGATCGGCCGTGTCCATTTTGCCATATGACATGTTCTTGGAAAGATTCCGCGACAAGAAGTTAGAGAAAACAACCACTGCACTAAAGACCTATACTGGTGAACTGATCTTTCCAGTTGGCCATCGTTTCCTTACCATGCAAGTTGAATACTTAGATCAGTCATGTCTATTGCAATTCCATGTAGTCCAGACTAAGGGTCCAGTGTTAATGGTTCGATTCGAGATTGGCTTCACAAGCTTCGCCTCAACTGGAAAACCATTAAGTTGTTGAAATCCTCAGATTCCAGCCATAGAAACCCTGGCACGACTACACAAGAGAAGCTGAAAAACCTATTGGATACGTATGCAGAGGTTTTTGAAGCCAAACTGGGAACTTTCAAATCTGCCAAATTAAAAGCAAGGATAACCTTCAAAGAAGGTAGTCAACCACAGTTTCGCAAAGCTCGTCAGGTCCCATATTCCTTACGACCGAAAGTGGAGGAAGAACTGAAGAGACTTCAGAGCGAAGGTATTTTTTTAGAAAGATATTTTTTTTAGAGTGGAGTGATTGGGCGACACCGATTGTACCAGTGCCGAAACAAGATGGTTCAGTCCGTATTTGTGGTGACTTCAAAGGTACTATTAACCCAACACTACAAGCAGAACAGTATCCTCTGCCTCGAATCGAAGATATCTTTGCCCATTTAGCTGGTAGGAAAAAGTTTTCCAAGATCGACTTCCGCCAAGCTTACCATCAGATTGAGCTGGAGGAAGAATCCAAGAAGCCCCTTACAATTAATACGTCCATGGGCTTGTTTGAATACATTCGATTGGTGTTTGGTATTACCTCAGCTCCCGGCATTTGGCAGCGTACCATGGATCAGATTCTGGAAGGAACTTCTGGGTATTAGTTGTATCCTAGATGATATGATTGTGACGGGTAAAAGCGACGCAGAGCATATGGCTAACCTGGAGGAGGTCATTCGACGGCTGCACCACCATGGGTTAAGAGCCAATAAATCGAAGTGTGAGTTCTTCAAAGAAAAGATCACGTTCTGTGGCCACGACATTAATAGTAAAGGCCTGCACAGGACCACCGACAAGACAGCTGCAATGGTGAATGCCCCTCGCCCCCAGAGTGTTGCAGAGGTACGCTCCTTCCTGGGATTGGTGAATTATTACCACAAATTTCTGCCAAACCTTGCTACAATCCTGCATCCATTGAACCAAATGCTGGAGAGTAACTAATAATAATATAATATATTTAAATTTATACAGCGCTTAAATTATATAAAATATTCCAAAGCGCTTTACAACAATGAGGTTATACTATATACAAGTAGCTAAAATATTAAGAATTAAGGTATAGGTGTCTATAAATCTAAAAGTTAGAATCGAAAGCTTTCTTAAAAAGGAAAGTCTTTAATTGAGATTTAAAACAGTCAATTGTTTAACTATTTCTAATACCAGAAGGTAGCATGTTCCAAATTGACGGAGCTGCATGCACAAATGCTCGATCACCAAGAGTCTTGGCTCTAGTTTTTGGGATAAAAAGTAGTCCCTGATCATCAGATCTCAGTTGGTAACAGCAGTTCGGGTTTTCTAACAACAGTTCCATAATGTAGCCTGGCGCCATCCCGTGGAGGGCTTTATATACCAGAAGTGCAATTTTAAAATCAACGCGAAACTTGACAGGCAGCCAGTGAAGGTGCATCAGGACAGGGGTAATATGAGCACATCTTGGTATAAGACACGTCACTCTAGCAGCGGCATTGAGAACTCGTTGAAGACGCTGAAGTTGGTATTGGGGAATACCGAACAAGAGAGAATTGCAGTAGTCCAAGTGTGACGTCACAAAGGCATGTACGAGCGTTTTAATAGTTGATTCGATGGAGAGAAACTTCCTTATTTGTCGGATGTTGTACAAGCCCCTAAATGCTTTGCTGCAAACCTTGCCCACATGGACATTCATCGACATATGTTCGTCAAACCACGAACCTAGATTTCGGACTTCTTGTACAGGTTTTATATCAGCATCACCAACTTCAATCGAGTCGATTGTAACCTTAGACAGCTGCTGGCGAGTTTCAATTATCAAGAATTCCGTTTTA